AGATTCTGCTGAAAATTATCCAAAAATGACTGAAGCAGCACATTAGCAGAGAAGTACCGGAAGTGCAGGCTGGGTTTAGAAGAGGCCGTGGTACTAGGGATATTATAGCTAATGTTAGATGGATTTTGGCAGAAAGCAGAGAGTACTAGAGGAATATCTATCTGTGTTTCATTGACTATGCAAAAGTGTTTGTGTGGATCACAACAAGCTGTGGCTGACTCTGAGAAGAATGAAAATCCCAGAACATTAGATTGTGCTTATGCAAAACCTATACTTGAACCAAGAGGCAGTTGTCAGGACAGAGCAACACTGAATGATTCAAAATCAGGAAAGGTGTATGTCAGGGATGTGTTCTGTCTCCACACTTTTTCAATCCATATGCGGAATAGATCATCCAGGAGTCTGGGCTCTATGAGGAGGAATGTGACATCAAGATTGGTGGCATATTCATAAACAACCTGTGTTACGCAGATGACACAACCCTGCTTGCTGAAACTGAGGAGGACCTGAAGCGCTTGCTGCAGAGGATCAAGGACTCCAGTCTTAAATATGTATTGAAACTCAACATCAAGAAAACGAAGATTCTCACCACTGGGTCAATTGGCAACATCATTATGAATGATGAAGAGATTGAGATTGTTAACAGTTTTAGTTTGCTTGGTTCCATAATCAACAAAATACTACTGAGTGAAAAAAATAAGAGATCTAAACTGGGAAATGTTCCCTGTTCATGAATAGGAAGACTCAATTTATTAAAACTATGATCCTATCAAAAGCAATCTACATGTGTAATGCAATCCCAATACAGATACCAAATTCATTTTTCAAAGACATAGATAAGGCAATTGGCAAGTTTATTTGGAAAGGAAAGAGACCCAAATAGGTAAAGCACTTAGAAAAAATGAAAATGAAATGATAGGTAGGCATGGCACTCCCTGATCTCAAAACCTACTTGTTAGGTGCTGTAGAGTCAAGTATGACTCATAGGGACCCTATTAACAAAAGATCTGAACCCTGCTCTGTCCTGCACTGTCTTCACACTTCTTGTCACACAAGAGCCCATTACAGCAGTCACCATGTCAATTCACATGGGTTTTACTCTCCTTCGCCAAACCCCCACCCTTCCCAGCATCATGTCCCTCTGCAAGGACTATGCCCCTCCTTGCAACATGTCCAAAGTATGTGAGGTGAAGCCTTATCAGTCCTGCCTCCAAGGAGCACTCCAGCTGTACCCTTTCCAAGACATATTTGTTTATTCTCTGTTTGTTGTATATTTGTGCTTTATTGACTCTGTGAAGGCATTTGACTGTGGATAATAACAAGTTGTGGCTGACATTGAGAAGAATGGGAAACCTAGAACACTTAATTGTGCTCATGCAAAACCTACACCTGGACCAGGATGGTGCTGTACAAATAGAATGAGGGAATACTGCACGGTTTAAAATTTAGAAGGGAGTTTGTCAGGGTTGTATTCTCCCTCCATACCAATTCAATCTGTATGCTGAGCAAAGTATCCAAGAAGCTGGACTCTATGAAGAGGAGTGTGGCATCAGGATTTGAGGGAGACTTATCAAAACCTGAATTTTGTAGATGACACAGCCTTGCTTGTTGAAAGTGAGGAGCACTTGAATCACTTGTTGCAGAAGATCAAGAAATGCAGTCTTCGGCCTGCATTGCATCTCAATGTCAAGAAAACAATGAGTCTTACCACTGGACTAATAGGCAGTGTTGTGATGGATGGAGAGGAGACTGAAACTGTCAACAGCTTCATCTTGCTTGTATACACAATTAACACCCTTGGTACCAGCAGTCAGTAAATAAGGAGATACATTGCACTGGGAAAATCTGCAATTAGTGACCTCTTCAAATTGTTGAGGAGTAACAATGTCACTTTGAGGACTAAGGTGCATCTGATTCAGGCCATAGTCTTTCCAATCATTTCCTATGCATCTGAGAGCTGGATCATCAATAGGAATGACAAAAGAATGATTAATGCCTTTGAGCTGTGGTGTTGGAGAAGAACTCTGAACATCCTATGGCCAGCCAAGAGAACAAAACCTACTACACAGCTGTAACAACCAAAACAGCATGGTACTGGTACAACGACAGGCACATACACCTATGGAACAGAATTGAGAATGCACAAATTAATCCATCTACCTATGGTCAACTGATGTTTGACAAGGAAACAAAACCTATCTAATTCGGAAATGATAACCTCTTCAACAAATGTTGCTGATAAAACTGGACTTCTACCTGCAGAAAGCTGAAGCAGGATCCACATCTCATACCATACACAAAAACCAACTTAAAGTAGATCAGATAGATTGGAGTAAAGCCCCAAACCATAAAAATCATAAAAGACAAAATGGGAGAGACCAACCTTAGACAACCTAGTCTATAGTATAAAGAGGCTGGAAAATACACCCAGAAATGCACAACCAGGAGAGAATAACATCAATGCATGAGACCTTATAAAGTCTCAATGTGCATCAAAAACTCCTTTGATTAGAGTGAAAAGAACATCTACTGATGGGGAAAAACATTTGACAATGACATCTCAGATGAAGGTCTCATAATTAAAGTTTACAGAATACTAGTCTTCACACCAGGCTTAAGGGGAAATTCTGCAGTTAGAACCTCTTAAATTGTTGAGGAGTAAAGATGTCAGTTTGAGGAGTAAGGTGCATCTGATTGAAGATATAGTTTTTTCAATCACTTGCTACATATCTGAGAGCTGAGCAATGAATAGGGATGACAGAAGAAGAACTGACGCCTTTGAGTTGTGGTGTTGGAGAAGAGCACTGAACATCCTACGGACTATCAAAAGAACAAACTAATATTTCTTGGAGAGGGTTCAGTCGGAGTGCTTTTAGGAGGCAAGGATGATGAGGTTTTACTATGAAAGGCTATTCCTTGGTGAGGGACAAGATGCTTGGAAGGGTGGAAGGTAAGAAAGACTTTCAACCAGGTGGATTGACATGGTTACTGCTGCAATGGGCTCTAGTGTGACAGGAATTGTGAAGACGGTACAGAATAGGACAGGGTTAAGATCTGTTGCTCATAGGGTCACAATGAGTTATACTTGGCTCCATGGCATCTAACAATATAACATACAGAATATTATTGGGCCTCCACAAGAAAAAAACTGTCAACACAATTACAAAATGAGCAAAAGACACAGGAAGATTTTTCATAGAGGAAGACATTTAGATGGCAAACAGACACATCAAGAAATTCTCAAAATCACCAGCAATCAGAGAGATTTAAATCAAAACCACAATGAGGTACCATCTTGCCCCAGTAGCAGTGACAAAGTTTAATAAGACAGCAAGTAGTAAATTTTGGAGAGGATATGGAGAGAATGGAACTCCCATACACTGTTGGTGGGATTTTAAAATGGTACAACCACTCTGGAAGGCAGTTTTGCATTTCCTAAAAAAAACTGAACAAAGAATTCCCATATGATGCAGCTATTCCACCCCTAAGGATATACACCAAGGAAAATAGAATTTAGACACAGAGATTTGTACACCAGTGTTCATAGCAGCATAACATTCATATTGTTGTTCACAAAATCAAGAAAATAAAAGCAGCCCAATGTCCATAACCAAACAAATGGATTGAGAGAAATTATGGTATGTTCACATGATGGAATACTATGCAGCACTCAGGAGCAAAGATTTTGAAAAACACTATATAACCTAGGAAAAGCTGGAGAACATTATGCTAAAGAACAAACAAATATCTCTTGGAGAAAGTGTAGCTAGAGTGCTCCTTTGAGGCAAAGGATGTGTCCTACATCTCCATACCTTTTCAATTTATATGTGGAAAAGATCAACCAGGAGGCTGAGCTCTATGAGGAGGAATGTGGCATCAGGATTGGAGGGAGACTCATCAACAATCTGTGTTATGTAGATGAAACAGCCTTGTTTGCTGAAATTGAGGAGGACCTGAAGCGCTTGCTGCAGAAGATCAAAGCCTTCAATATGGATTGAATATGATCCAGTGGTAAGAATTTTTATTTTTTGATGTTGAGATGGGTTTCATGTGTATGTTGTTGTTGTTGTTGTTGTTGTTGTTATGTGCCATCAAGTTGCTTGCCACTCATAATGACCCTATGTACAAGAGGCCTAAAAGCCGCTCTATCCTGTACCAACCTCGCCATCTCAAAACACATTCCCACCACTCCACTCACAGAATCGATCCATCTCATTGAGAGTCTTCCTCTCCTGCGCCGTCCCTCCACTCTCCCAAACGTGATGTCCCTCTCCAAGGACTAGTCCCTCCTTGCAACATGCCCAAAGTATGTCAGACAAAGCTTCAGAATCCTTGACTCCAAGTAGCATTCCGGCTTCACCCTCTCCAGGACAAATCTGTTTGTTCTCCTAGCAGTCCATGGTATATTCAACACTCTTCTCCAGCACCACAGTTCAAAGGCATAAATTCTCTTTCTGTCATCCCTATTCATTGTCCAACTCTCCGATGCATAGCACGTAATTGTGAAGACTATAGCCTGCATCAGACACACCTTAGTTTCCAGTCTGACATCGTTGCTCTTCAGTACTCTCAAGAGGTCCCTCACAGCTGACTTTCCCAATGCAATTCATCTCCTGATTTCCTGGCTGCTGTTATCAAGAGTGTTGACTGTGGAGCCAAGTAAACTAAAACTGTTAACTGTCTCAATCTCTTCACCATCCATACTGATGCTGCCAATAGGCCCAGTGGTGAGAATCCTTGTTCTTGAAAACCCCATGTACAATAGAGCTCATGTGTATAATGGAGATTAATTTTACTCAGTAGCAAGTCACAACGGATACTCAGCAAACATAAATTTTCAACACATTTTCACCACATATTTAATGTATATTTCTGCACAACCAAAAAGGTAAACAAGTGAAAATGTGAGATATGTGAATGATCTTCTGTATAGAGTCACATTCCCCATCACCATGAATAAGCAAGAATTCATATTCATTTGTCTTAGAACTTATTCTTACCTGCCAAAACACATTCTTGAGTATATAATAGTCTACATCCAAAGCGGCCACAAATATAATTAAAGGTAAAAAATAGCAATAAAGTGCAAAACTTGGTGTACTTAAGAGAGGGTAGATCATTTTGTGGATCTAAAGTAATAAAGACAAACAAGAAACTTAGTTTTCTAGGTATTAGAAATTTAGAGGATGTTATTTAAAGCAAAAATTTTTTAAACAATATTACCATCTATTACTAATGAGAATTTCTACAAGGCCAGTCCTGACAAACCTGTGTTAGATCTCTTGCTCTATCCCTTTAGACAAGTTGTTAAGTGTGGTCTTCTATTTATCAGAGAAGTTAACACAAGCTGCACAAACATTGCTTGAGGTAAACAACCAATGTTTTCCAAAATGGTTTCCAGTCTTTGGTGATCCCCAAGATAATTCTAGTGATTCACATACAAGTATTTTCCCTTAATTTGACTGTTAGGCATTTCTTTTCATGTTCATTGTGGAGGAGCTGTTGTATTCTCCACAAATCCTTATAATCTCACAAATTTAGGATTTAAAAATTGTTGAGTCAATAGAAAATAATATATAAAAATATATAGACAATAGTACAGATTGATATCCAGGACCAAGTCATTAAAGTTGCATAATAATAAATGGAAAACATAGCAGAGAGTGAAGCTTTTCCTTTGGTCCCTCCTCTGAAATTTGTTTTGATCCAATCAATACTTTGAGCTTCATTGCTTAACCTCCCTGTACTTCAATTTCCTTATCCATAAAATGAGCATAATGAGTTGTAAGGATGAATGAACAAATTCAAAACAAAATATTTAGTAAGCCAACACATATGATTTCTTTAAAAAAAAAAGCAGCACATAAAAACAGTTAGTGCTTATAAGTGCACTCCAGAAAAACAAATGGCTTTTATAGTCCTCAGTAAGTGCAAGCATTATCTTCAATTTTTTTTTCAAAAGGCAATGATTGGAAGTATGTTGCTGGTGGTTGCACTACTTTGCCTTCAAAATCAAGAGCTAATAAGTTCATACAAATTTTCTTGCATGTATATTATACATTGTGTGATGCATGTTTATATTTAATCTGACAGTAATAACCATGACTCAACATGAAAACAACTGTTGCCTTTTATAACTCGTGTCTCCAGAGATATTAAAAAGAATCTGACAGAAGCCAGTGCATGAGTGAGGCACGGGAGGGGAGTGGGTGGAGAAGCAAGAGCAAGGACTCAGAAGCAAATGGAGCAAAGCCCAGGAATGAAAAGTCCCCTCACTTCTAAATTAGGGTCCTATTGTATGTCTCCTTCACCAGATGACTTCTCATTTTCTAATGTTTTAGTAATAGATTACTTTTTTTTTAGTATTTGTTCACATATGGGGACAAATCTATACATTGAGAGGCAAGAGTAGGAATGGAACTTGTTTGGAGTCTTTCTCCTTGAACTAATTCTCTAACTTATTGTACCTCCAGTACCTTAACAAAGCTCTGGGCCAGTTGTCCTACAGCAAATCCTGATAGGGAAAGAATTGACAAGACGAGGACTTCAGAATTCTTTAAACACGCTCGCAAACATCCTAAAGAAATACATGTATGTGTTATTTAAATATAATTTGTAGCTTTAAAATATTTTAATATTTCCTTTAATTTTAAACTTATTCTGAGTGTCATATTATCAAGGATAAATAATTGACAGGTGTTGTAAATTCCATGTCTTAACTCTAAGATTTTTTTCCCCACAGTGAAAAAACTGGCATATGATTCTTTTTTATCCTGTTCTTTCCACACAAAGTCTTTAAGATTATTTTTAAGACATCCATAATAAGACATTTTCCAATCTTTTCTCCATCTACGAAGAATTGATGCCTTCGAATTGTGTTGTTGGAGAGAATACTGAGTATTCATAGACTGTCAGATGAACAAATGGATACATCTTGGAGAAAGTCCAGCAAGTGCCCCTTGGAGACAAAAATGATAAAGCACGTTGCTAGAAGAAGCTATTCCTTGGAGAGGGGCATGAAGCTCAGAAAGGTGGAGTGTCAGTGAAATAAAGGGAGACTCTCGACTTGGTGGATTGACACAGTGACTGCTGCAATGGGCTCTAATGTGTCAGGAACTGTGAGGATGGCGCAGAACAGGACAAGGTTCAGATCTGTTGTTCATAGGGCTGCTGTGAGTTGTACTTAACTCAAGGGCCCTTAATAATGACACAATGAGGAAGATAAGACAATCTGGCAAATACTAAAGTTTGCAATAACTCCCCTCCTGCCCATCCAATAGCACTTTAGGATTGTCACTGTGTTAAGTACCTTACATTAATATGATGGAGAGAAACTGTAGAAAGTCAAACTTTGTATAGACATCATCACACACACACACCAAACGTCCTGCGGTGGAGACATGTCTCTTTAATGGCACCCCTCCACCTAGTTTTCAAGGGTGTACGTTTTAACAAGGAGACCACTTATCTTTCTCTCTAAGAGCAGCTAGCAGATTCAAACTGCCAAAATTTTAGTTATCAGCTTGGTATGTTACAATATATCATCAGGACCCCCATATCTTTATAAAACAAACAATAACATTGACTCAGAATCATTTCATAGCTTCCAGTGGGTTTTCAGAGGCTGTAAATCACACGGGAGAAGATTATCTATCTTTCTTTCTCAGAGCAGCTGGTGGATTCAAAGCAGGTGCCTTTGGGTTGGCTGCACAACTTCTTACCTGCTGTTTTGTTTTGTATCATGGAGTTGGAACCAACTAACCCTCCAGCAAGTTTTCAGAGGGAATAAATCTCACAGGAGACTATCTATCTGTCTTCTGCAGAACAGCTGGTGGATTCAAACTGTGTACCTTTGGGTAGGCAGCACAACTCCTTACCACTAAAAATGAACAGAACTCCTTCACCCACTGTTGTTACTGTGTCTCATTGAGTTGGAGCTGACCCATAGATGACCCTCCAGCAGGTTTTCAGAGGCAGTTAATCACACTGGAGGAGATTGGCCATCCTTCTGCCAAGAAGCAGCTAGTGGAATCAAACGCCTTTCAGATTACAGCACTAATTTTTACTACTCGACCACCAGAGTGATATAGAACATTTCCTATCATCATCCTAAGTTATACCATAGTTTTACCCTACATATCTACAGTGTCCATGAATCAGAATCAAATCAATAGCACCTAATAACAAGCTACAGCACCTATGTACAATTAAACAACCAGCAAACCGATGGCTGTTGAGTTGATTCTGATTCATACTGACCCTACAGAATAGAGGAGATCTGTTCTATAGGGTGTCCAGGGCTGTAACTTTTACAGAAGCAGGACGCCTCACCTTTCTTTCACAGATTGGCTGGTGAATGCAAACATCAACTTTTCAGTTAGCAGTCAAGCATTTTGACCACTGTGCCACCCAACTCCTACATTAGTGTCCTCCATAAAGCCAGAAATACTTCTGAGTTTCAACCATAAGGAAAAACTACATTGACCAAACAAATAGAAAAATACATTTGTTATACTATTTTAAAGGGCCCCAAGGGAAATAATTTCACTTTCTGGCACAGTTGAGTAACACTGAAGATATTTGCTATGTGTTTTATTTGACTATTCTCTTCCTCCTTCCAGAAAGAACTTTAAAACAGCTGAGGTTTTTCTACATAAATTTTCTTTTACAGTATTTGAGAAAGCTTTCTCTAATTACTAACATTATAGGTATCATTTACCATACTTGCTGAATTCATAATCATTATAAGTCCTCTATTTGTGAAACCGAATCTCCCTCTTGGGTTGGTGGTACAGCTATTTCTCTAAAGAAAAAAAATCACATCAAGAATGCCATAACAGAACAGGTGAAATTTATGAAGTCCTCTATGTAAACTGGGGATTGTATGTCCGAGCGCCATCTATCTATTGGTTTCACACACTCTCTCCTCTCCTAACTCCAATTATTTTGGTCAGGCAAGGCCTGGCCAAGCTGATGATGTAAGGCTCTCCTTCATCTTTGTTAACGGAGCGTCCTGACTAGACCTTTAAAGTTGTATTTACCACATTGCATTGTGATTCTTTGTTGGCCTGTCTCTCTCATGAGAAGGTTCTTTGATGTTAGAGTCTGTCTTTCCTTACCTACCACATTGCTATGCTCAGCAAAAGTTAATTAAAGGAACATAGTAGACATCACTTGTAATTAAATGAAACTAGACTGATAGCATTCACTGATATTCTTTCACTATACAGCAGCAGCAGCAACAAACCACAGCTCACTGCTGTTGGATCAATTCTGGCTTACAGTGACCCTAAAGACACAGTAGCACTTCCCCTTAGAGGCTCCAAAGCTACAAATCTTCATGGAAGAAGAAACTGATTGCTGCAAACTGATTACATTCTCCCATTGACTGACTAGAAGATTCGAACCACCACGCTTTTTCAGTTAGCATCCCAGTGCTTAGTCTATTTTGCAGAACTCATTCTTTTATTCTATTGGGCCTCCTTTTTTGATGTAGTTGTAATCACTTTCTACATGAGAAAAGGTTCAGAAGTCAGAGGAAGGATGAGAATTCAAAATAGCCACCTACCTCCCATAGCAATAATAAAACAGAGAAGCACTATGAAATGTGCCTCTTCCTCAATATATCTAGTGGGCATCCCACAGACTAGTTCAACTGTGTCATTATTTTTTTGTGTCTCAGGAAGGCTACTCATTTTGCTTGATTTTTCAATCCTAATTTGAATTAATATGTAAGTTGACACGTTCCACGATTACAGAGTAACCTGTCGAAAAAAGAAAGAAAGAAACCATTGCTGAAGAGTTGATCCCAGTTCATGGCAAATGTTTTACAGAGTAGACTTACACTCCATAGGGTTTTCTCGGTTGTAATCTTAATGTGCTCAGATTGCTGTTGTTCTTGTTGTTCTGTGTCATTGAGCCACTTGTAACTCATAGTGATCCTATGGACAGCAGCTCTGAAGCCTGCCCTGTCCTGAACCAGTCTGACTCCAACACACCCCACCAATTGTCCCAAGTCACTGTATCAATTCTTATGCAGGGCCTTCCTGTCCTGTACTGTCCCTCCACCCTTCCAAGCATGATGTCCTTCTCCAAGGGTTGGTTCCTCCTGGCTACATGCCCAAAGTATGCTAAGCAGAGCTTCAAAATCCTACCTTCCAAGGAGAAACTTTTCACCCTTTCCAAGACAGACCGATTTGTTTTCTTGACCGTCCATGGTATATTCAAGACTCTTTTCGAGCATTGCAATTAATTCTTCTGTCATCCTTGGCATCAGATTACCAGACCTTTCCCTTCCCACCCCCAAAGTATTGCTGGATAGATTTGAACCACCAAACTCTGGGTAAATAATTGAGTGCAAGCTCTTTGCAACCCTGAAAGACCTAACCTGTTACGATATGCAAAGAGAAGAAAATGAGAGCTTGCTGAGATCTAATTTATCCCCACACTTTCTACCTAAAATTGGACCACACTTAGACCTGAGCACCTTTTATCCTTCCACATCACACGCATTAATCCCTCTAACGGACTCATGGAGTACTTAATAGGAAGACTAATTGCAGTGTTACTGTTTCTTCCTCATATCAAGGAGGTGTGTGTGTTTGTTATAGCATGCACTATTGTCAAGATATGCTAATATGTTTGCCTTTCCTATCCATTGGGTTGAATTTCTCAAAGGCTAGGATTAAATATCAGTTTTTTAAAAGTTGTATATATGGCACATAAGGTTGCTGTTGTTATGTGCCATTGAGTTGCCTGCGACTCATATAGCAACCCTATGTACAACAGCCCTAAACCCTGTTCTATCCCTTGCCAATCTTATTGTCTCTGACGCACCTATCCCCATTAACCCAGTGACAGAATCCATCCATCTCATCGAGGGTCTTCCTCTCCTGCACTGTCTCTCCACCCTCCCAAGTATGACATCCATCTCCAAGGACTGACTGATCCTGCCTTGCAACATGTCCAAAGTATGTCAGACGAAGCTTCAGAATCCTTGCCTCCAAGGAGCAGCCTGACTTCACCCTCTCCAGGATGAACTTGTTTGTTCTCCCAGCAGTCCATGGTATATTCAGTAGTCTTCTCCAGCACCACAGCTCAAAGGCATAACTCTCCTAGCATCCCTAGTCATTGTACAGCTCTCTGCAAAGACCATGGCCTGTATCGGGTGCACCTTAAGTCTACAGGCTGATGTTGTTGCTCTTCAGTACTCTGAGAGGTCTCTGACAGCAGACTTTCTCAATACAATTAGTCTTTTTTATTTCCTGGGTGCTGGTACCAAGAATGTTGATTGCAGAGCCAAGCAAACTGAAGCTGTAAACAACCTCAGTCTCTTCACCATCCATCATGATGTTGCCAATTGGCCCAGCGGTGAGAATCTTTGTTTTCTTGATGTTAAGCTTCGATCCATATTAAAGGCTGCAGTCCTTGACCTTCTGCAGCAAGCACTTCAGGTCCTCCTCAGTTTCAGCAAGCAGGGTTGTGTAATCTGCATTACGCAGATTGCTGACGAATCTTTCTTCAATCCTGATGTCACACTTCTCCTCATAAAGCCTGGCCTCCTGGATAATCTATTCCACTATATACTGAAAAGGTATGGAGATAGGACACATCCTTGACTCACATCCTTCCAAATTTTGAACTATGCAGTGTTTTCTTGCTCTGTGTTCTGATGACTGCCTCTTAGTACAAGAACAGGTTTCACATAAGCCCAACTGAGTGTTCTGGGATTCCCATTCTTCTCAGAGTCAGCCACAATTTGTTGTGATCCACACAGTTAAATGCCTTTGCAGAGTCAATGAAACACAGATAGACATTCCTCTGGTACTCTGTTTTCAGCCAAGATCCATCTAACATTAGCTATAATATCCTTAGTGCCACAGCCTCTTCTAACTTCATCTTGCACTTCAGGTAGTTCTTTGTTGATGTGCTTTTGGATAATCTTCAGCAGAATCTTGCTTGCATGTGATATCAATGATACTGTTCGATAATTTCCACACTCTGTCAGGTCACCCTTCTTTGGAATGGGAACAAATATCGATCTCTTCCAGTCAGTTGGCAAGGTGGTTGCCATCTAGATTTCTTTGCACAACTTGGTGAGCACATCCAGGGCAACATCTGTTTGTTGAAATATGTCAATTGTTATTCCATCAATTCCTGGGGCCTTGTTTTTTGCCAATTCTTTCAGAGCAGCATCAACTTCTTCATCACCACAGGCTCTTGCTCATCTCCATAAATACATAATGAACTGAATTCTTTGAGGGAGAGAGAAGCAAAGATAAACATCATTTTCTTTGTTCTCCATGGGTACAACCAATTCTAGAATTTATTTTTATTGTTCCAATGCCATAACCTCCCCTTTCCTCTTTCAGCTTCCTCCAAAATCCAAAATGGGATATAAGATCACAGTTGAATCATGTCCCTTAAGACTGAAAGTAGGGGTGGGAGTGAATAACCTAATAACAAAATAAAAAGCACTAAAATTAAGTGAAGTAGAAACTAAGTAAGGCCCTTTCCTCTGACCAATGCAGCCTCACAACAAGGTACATGGCTGGTAAGTCAAGAGCAGGAAGAATTTCAGCCCTGAACTCCATCTCTGCTGGTTCCGTTGTGTAAGTCATGTTGTTGTTGTTGTTGTTGTAAACTGTTGAGTCAGAACTCATAGCTGACTCTCAAATAGGTTTTCAGAGAAAACCAGAATATGATCACACAGGAGACTGCCAACCTTTCTCCCACAGAGCAGCTGGTGGATTCAAACCATAGTTCTTCAGGCTGGCAGGCAGGTTCTTACCTCTATCTAGGTCACCAGAGCTCCCTGGTATATGTCATATGCACAAATACAGGTGGTGGTCATAAGGATTTGTTCTACTTTTGTGTCTAGACTTAAAAAACACCAAGAGGTTCTTGGAGTATCCCAATCATAGTTAGGATTCTTTTTTCTTCTTCTTCTTTTTCTCTCTCTCTCGTGTACTTGATTGAACTACAGACCACAATTCTGGTGTGAAGCAGAGGTTTGAATCAGAAATGCAATTCAGATGCTACTTCTGCATATCACATCATCTGACCTCCAAGGTGCTCTTCAAGTGGCTGTTATCTTCCAACCCTGCTGTGCCCTCTTAATCACCATAGCATCACCCGCAAATCAAGCACTTCTCTAAAAACCAAGACCAGAGGTATCTTCTTCCAAGCTTAAACTGGTTCCAAGTTGAAGCCAAGATGAAGACTGGAAAACAAAAACATGCAGTTTGCCAGTCAGTTTGCCAGTTAAGGTACTGTTAACTGGTCATTCACACAGAAAGAAAAGGCCCTTCCTACTTCCCATTGGTTTCTGATCAACTTGCTTTCATTCTGATTGGCTAATACATGCTATACTTCCCCCCCAATCCAGAAGAAGCTAAGTAATATTATTCCAAAGTATACTAGTCTTAAAGCTCAAGTTGTGTCAGTACAACTGTTTTAACTGATTTCCCCTAGTATGATATCTGAAGTGATATATAAGATATATATGAGATACTGATTACGTCAGGAAGCCTATTCTGTGTTTTTGTATCCTCTAATCTCTTCACCAACGTTAATCAGTTGAGAGACCCTGACCTCTTCAATGTTACTTTATTTCTTCTTTTTTATTTCCTTTCTACCTCTCCCTTTTCAATGTCTCTCATATTCCTAAAACATTTGTTCACATTAACTTTGAATCCTTAGCTTATAATAGCATTATAAATCATTCTTCACAGGTCAAATAATACAAAATCTTGTGCTGTCCAGCATAGTACAGTTTTTTACTCAAAAACAGTATAAATATTAAAGAAATTATAATTGCTCATTAATTTGTTGTTTATTTCAAGGAAGATATTTTGTGACCATGATTCTATTCTTTGATTCCTGAACCAACTATTCAAAGTTCACACATATCCTCTTGCCCAAGGCCCCAGGATAATAACAGAGCTGTTTCTATCATCAATCATCTCTACTAAGTATAAAGGAAGCTTTAACAAAGTCCCAGTTTCTACTTGGCTAAAGTTTTAGTTTGCTCTGCATTTGCCCCTCATTGCAGCAACCATATTTGATACCAAACATCATCACCCCAAAGTATTTGTTTCTCAACTATGAAAAATTACAGGGATCATGGGGCTTTCGTTTTTTTTGGGGGGGAGGGGAAGCTGCCTTAAAATCATATCTAGTTGGAGAAAGAGCTGACCCTTTTCAAGGCTTCCTTGTTACCTCTCCAACTCTTTAAGTTTTTTGCCTTCCTCTTTTCACTATTTTCCATTCTCATTCCTCTAACTTCTGTTGTCAAAGTTCTCCTGAGCTTCAGTTCTTACAGTTTCTCATCCTGCCCTTATTTCATGGTCTCAATTACCAAGCGCACTACCTCTTTTGCCATTTTCATCCTCATTTTATCTATCCAGGTTGCCACTTGGTTGTGTTGTGCATTTACTTGTGTCTCCCCCCAAATACATATATTTAATGATGAAATGTGGAAAACATGTGATCATCTCTCCCACAATGTGATATAGTTTTGTTTTGTTTTTAACATTTAGTATTATTGATTTCAATGAAAATTTACAGAGACTTTGGATTTCCATTCATTCATTGTTGCACTTTTCTCCCTGCCCAACCTCCCCCCAACCTGTTTGCTCTTCTCTTTGAAAAGTAAAATTCTTTCACTGTTATACAATCCCTCCCCCCAAGTCCA